CTCATAATAGCGTTATTTTATCAACAGATGTGCTAGATAAGAACTTAATATATAACCACGGTTTATTTTATATTATGACGAACTCTCTTAAAAGCACCAATTACCAAATTAGTGTTCAAAATATTGGTTTAAGATTTTTTCTAAGTTTAGCATAAGAATAAGTCATAATTTTTTAAAGTCTTCAAAACATTTACATTAAACTCTCTAAGTTACTTAACTTCTTAGACTTTCTTTCTAGTAAAATTTTCGCTATTTTAAACCTTTAATTCAACTTAACGTTGAATTAATTCCTAGCCACTCAAGGTTTTCAGTCAAGGCATTCGTAATAAAACCGAGTCTTGAAAACTGTAGCCATCAACAAGCTGACTTTTCATTCAAATCACGAGGCAGAAGTAGTAAAAATTTATGTATTGGTTTCATGGGTAGATTTATAACATTTCTTGTGAAACTTCGAATATAGCATTACTGACAAGATATTAACCACGCCCTTTTCTCCTTGCGCAGTTGCTGTAAATAAAAGTAAAGGTTTTTACAAATATTAAATGTACCTTCATTGTATTACATTATTTATCTTACTAATTTTAAATGATTAAGAAAAGTGGCTTATCAGGAGGCAGAACTCGTAAATAAAAAGCCTTTCATCTATACTTTCATTATGAAAGGGAGCGTCGTTACCAGGAGTGCATAACGGATGTGGAAGTTTCCTTGAACGGCTTTACTGTATAGTAGGAAGCGAGCTCGTAAAGGACGTTTGAGGATGGTGGCAGACGTTTATCCTTCTTACAGTTAGTATTACATGTTACATTATATACTTTATATTTTTATGACTTATTTAAAAACATCTAATTTATATGTCTTTTCATATTCTTTGTTCAAAACTTTTCATGAATAGAAAAAGTAAAAAATAATTTATTAAATCCAACACAATCGCGTTGGGCGCGGGCTTGAGTCTCGCCTATGCATTATCAAGAAAAATGTTGATGTTTTACACCGTTAATAAGGCAATTGTTTATATGTAAAGCAAAAACTAGAGCGATTAATATTACCGCAATTGTATAAGAGGAATGCAAACGTGCGCACACATAAGACAAACAACGTGTGTTTAAATGAAAAACCTTCATAATGATGGTTAAGCTAGACAGCTAGAGAAAAACAAACACGACAACACGTGCATTCGCTGAGAAGTCTCAAGTGCGGACTACGGCGAGTACCTACTTTCAGAAGGCATATTAACATTTCACTTGGGACTTTATTCATCAAATGATACAATATTTAGATTATGAACAATTATGTTATTTAAATATCAATAACGCTTCTGAAAACTCCGCAAAATCTGTTATAGTACCTAAATAATATATAACTATTTTCACATAAAAATTACATTTAAATATGTCAATTATAATGCTATAACATAGGCAACACTTTAAAAATCCTAGATATTGCTTCATTGTAATTGAAGATGAGGTTCTCATAAAGAGTGGAATGTATTTTAGGAGTCATGTCTGGTGGACCTTGGAGACGCTTGGAACGGAGCCAAACCCATTAACTTATACTTACGAATCAGATATTTGAAGACGAATGGTCTTAAGTTTGAATTATGCTACAGTTTAATATTATATACTTGTATATTTATTATGTTAAGCTGATATATAGGTGTATAATGCCAGTTGGGGAACAACCCTTTTGTCATGAAAATTTCAATTCTCCAAAAACTTTTTTTAAAGAATGACAACACACTAATAGGCCTCTTTTAAACGACCAAGAGGTAACCAAATTTTATTCATTCAAAACTACTCTAACGGGAACGGTGAAAGGGATTATTCTTCTTTCCGGTAACATATTGTAACATATTGCTTTAGCCAAAATGCTAAGTAATTTTAAAATCTTTTAAGCTGTTATAATGTCTTACATAAAACCTGTATAAATATCTATAACATATATCAAATCAATATTTATTTTAATATTGTACATCCGCTACAATATTTCGTAATTATCATTATTATTAAGTATGGGTAGGTAGGTCTCCATTACCTTCAATTAAATTACGCCAAAATTGTTAAATTTGAGTTGCTAGATACCAGGTTATATATTACATAAGTAATAAGCTCTCGTTAATGGTTCTGAAATCCGAACGAAAGGGTCTTTTTGAAGGACTAGTTCTTGAGATGTAAACTATGAAACTCGAGATGCGAAAACTTTAATTGGATCTGCTATTTGACGCTGATTCGAGACTCAACAAGTTATTTGAATTAAAGCTTCAACTTCATTTAACTATTTAGTAACGGAGACTCGCGTTCTTGTTTTAATACGTTCTTTAAACATTTCGATTAAGAGAAGGAGAAAAGTGAAGAGTTTTCTCCGCTTCTTGCATTGTTTACCTACACACAAAAAACTGTTTTCACTTTCTAGTGAATGTAGTAATTATTATTAGCGTTTGGGATTATAACCGTAAGACATCGTCCATTGTATTTATCTTTCAACGCAGGCGAGTGTGATCTGATATTTTAGGAATATCTTCAGTCATTAGCGAAATGGTTGATTTTCTATTAACGTGATTGAGCGACCCATTATCGGCTCAATAAATTTTCGATGAGTGGTTTGAGGCCAGCGTGAAGTGGATTAGGTACCTTTTGAAGGACCCGGTGCGGGGCCATTCTAGCTCGGGCCTCGTTTAATTGACGTTTCCATCAAGCGTTTTCGATTATATTAGGGCAGCTCAATTTAATTTGTTATTTACACACATTTTTTCGCTTCTTAATATTAATTGTAAATATTGGCTTCCATAAAAACGTATCAAAGTTATTTGTTTACTTGACTTTCTTAATTTTTAGTCGTCGATCAGGTATAGAAATGTGGTACAGGCATACCTTCTAGAAATACAGATTCAATTGGAAAGGCAAAGTGTGAAAATGACGTGGAAGTAAGATTTAAAAGTGTCGCTAAAGCTATTCCGCCTCGGGAGCGCTCGGCATTCGGAGCACGTGCGGCCATTGATTGGCAATGCCGCGTGCTTGTACAGGTACGCTGCAAAGGGGGGTAGACGCTGTATATGGATGTGGACGGGCGCCTTAAACGGCTTGCAGTCTCCGCTATTGACTTCTTATTGGGTCTTACTGTTACAGTACATACATTGCGTCGCGGGTTATTATTACAATGGGGCAGAAGGGGTTCTTGTCTTCCTGACATATTATTTCTAATGGTGCAAGTATTCGCCTTTTTTTATATCTAAAATTATGTCCTGTTTTAAAAAAATAATAACGAGCAATAAATGACAATAGAATTGGGATACTTAATTGAAATAAATATAATTTAAAATTAAACAAAATATAGGTAACATCTTTAAGATTTATTTGTACCTACTTCAAGAGTGACAAACCCACAGTATTTGACAGAGTTAGTAACATGGTCAATTAAATTTATTATATAAGTAAAGTATATTACAATAACAATTACTTCCAGCCATTGTAATTGTTATATTTGCGTAAAATTCTATCACGTATTGTTTTTGACCGCATTCGCGCTGTAACAGTTTTGTCTCGCGCGTGCCAAATGTATTACGATACAATAATATCGTTAATGTCTGGAGTTGCAGTATATTTATTTTTCCGCTTAAAGTTCTATGCAAACAATAAGAAGGCTGTACGAATCCATTTTGAAGCGGGATCGAGTATTTTTGACGCTATTGGAAGATCCCAAGCACTGTGCTAACTCTATATCAACATTTTGTATATTTTGTTATCAAAAATTATTATTATGCCTACTTAAAGTATGAAAATAGTTGTACCATAAAATGTTACGGCTCACTACAACAAACCCCTAAGTACACGATAGCGCATTCATTATTTGAGTTGAAATAAATTAAAAATTAATAAAAGTTTATCTTCGTTTTACTCCATGTTTACGGAGGAAATAGCCTGAATGTGCTCGACAAATTGTCAAAAGAATCCCCATTGTAGCTACCTGCGTGGAAATGTTTATCTTTTCGTTCAGTGTTGCCAGAGGAAAATTGTCTTTATTCTGTTTCTTTGCCTCAGGTAATTCACCTGTAAAAAATAGTTATTTTTAATAAGTCGTTATCCAAGCGAAATTCCCGCTTTTCTCGTTAGCGAAATATTACTTGAGGCACTCTCTACCACGTTAACAAGCGCAGAAAGTGTACAAGGAATCCATCAGAAGTTCGAAAGGTTTAGGCACATTGTTTGCAACTGACAGAATATATTTAAACTCGGTGCGTTCATTAAACACGTGACTCGGCACCGCCGCGCGAATTGCGATCTTGCTTCTTGTATACGTTTTCTTTTCAACTTTTTTGTAACTATATGAAACAATGCTATTTGTTTTCAGCTTTACTATTATTTTTATGTCACAACCTTACAACGAGCACTCCTAAAGACTAAAGAGGTCATTTAAGTAAAGAAATAAGATTCTTGGATTTCACTCGTTCTACTAATATATCAGGTAGAACGATGGCAAGGTTTGAGTTCCTGAGCCTGTGTCGTCGATCAGTGAATCTTCTTAAAAGATTGTTCGTGATTATTGGTACTAAATTATAACAAAATAACATGTGCCTGGGAATTAATTAAGTCTCTACCGTATTTGAGTGGGTATGTTTCGAAATTAATAACAATTTAACGAAGAGGAATTTCAGTTGCCTGCAACGAACACGCCGCGTGGGCAAACGTTACCTTTTGTTTAACGTGGACATTTTGCAAACTAGCCTTTGACTCGAACCCTTTGGCCGCGTAGTCGTTGAATTTTTAACAAAAATAAACGCCGCTTCCTGCAGTTCTCTGCCGAAATGCTATTCTGTTCATTCCGTGGAAAGCAGCGTTTATTTGAGTGAATAATTTTAAAACGTGTTTAACTCGACATCGCCGTAAATGAGACCGCTCCAAATGGACGTTCGCATGTGCCCGGTTGATTGTATAACGCAGTTTGAAGCGCGCTCGTGCCGATAACGATTACGATTATGTTCCGGCTGAAATCTATTCCGTTTCACTTTAGCGAATGATGAAGCGGCGTGTAATCGGCGAAGTCGGGGTTAATCGATACCGGATCATCGAAATAAGAGAACTATCGAGTTTAGTCAGATTTGCTCCCTTGGGACGATTGTCGGTCGATGGATCCCGTCTCATTAGCTTTCCCAATAAAATAATAGAGATTTTCCCGTGGAGATGAGTTAGGGCGGCGCGGGGCGGGGATGCCCGGGTAGCTTCCAGTGATCGCCCGCCCGCCCTGGCGTCTGCACGCGGTTTGCCCCTCTGTGCTGTGCGGCGAGTGATATGTGAAACTCCACGGATAAGGATCAGTCGACGCCTAATGGTTTGCAAATGTGTTTCACTCGCATCGTGATGGATAATTCGCCCAACGCACACTTTATTTTTATGTGGCATATAGGTTTTATCATTATTTTTTTAAGTTTATTGTCTGTACGCTCGCAGCTAAATGTTCGAGTTAAAAAATGAAATAATTATTATTTACATAAATGTATTATTATAAATTTTATATGTTTTTCATAATATTTCCAATTATGCATTTGAGACTATTCAATTACTCTAGTATACATTAGTGATGGTCTCGTATTTACAGCAACTTAACTAAGCCAAGTTAGCTCGTAGGTTATTTAATTTAAAGTTAATTGTTAATTTTCGTCTTCATCCGGCTAACTGCTCCTTACGTAATGACGAAATGTTGAAAACTCAGTTGCACTTGTGTAGATTCTCATCTACATGCGTCATTATATCCGTCGTATCGACGTTTCGTTAATTTGAATTTTGACCGTGGACAGGGTCTGCGTCGAAATGTACTAGATAGGTTTGCGTGGGACGCAAGAGTGATGCTTCGTATTTGTCTCCCGTCACAATCAACGGTATCTTTTATCTCCGTTCCGTGAATTTTATTTAAATTACCGCCCGAACGACACGCTTATATATCGGATACACAATTCCGGAAAAGAGACACGAGTACAATTATTCACTTCGTGTACGCGTAGTAATGTTATTTGTATTTAAAATTTGGAAAATTGTTCATTTGTGGAATTTTATCTAAAAAACATATAAATGACGGACCACGCGATTACTTATATACACCACACTAACTTACTTAGATACATAACTTACATAGTACAAATAAAGCTTTTACCCAATTGACTTCGCGGTCTTAAAACTTGTTTTAAATTATCGTAGGCATTTTCTTAATATTATCTTAGTGATTAAGATCGGGCATTTATCTAGTTATCGTAGAGATTAATGGGCGTAACGACCGAAAGTTCAAATTGCGGGCAATAACGAGTGAAGGTTGTATTAAAAATAGCCCCGTTTAGACGAAGGCTTTGTAATTCGTTCTAGTCGCGTAGCGTGGGGCCTCGGCACATCACACAGACACCATGAAAGAAATTGTTGGAAAAAAATACAATCAATCAGGTTACCTACGACTTCGCTTTGCTTCATTACATAATATAGCGCTTTTTTTTATTATAATATAATTACATACTAAATAAGGACTATTAGGAGCGTTTTATTTACTTTCGGGCGAAGCCATTTTAGGTCATAATGCAGATTGCCTCAATAAGAATTGACTACCCTAACATGACTTTTCATGACAGACGAGAAAAACTAGCATATAGGGCTCACTTAATAGAAGGTGATATACCTACCTCAGTCATTTAACTTCTAAACAAGATGTGCTGTCGACCTATAATGGTTTTAAGTCTTCCGATTAAAATTTGAATTTGAATCTACTGAAGTTGAAACGCAGATCTACTTCTCGTTCTGCGTAGGCAACGAACTGATTCGACATTTTAAAAATTGACCAGGGACAAAAGTGTAACCGTCCCTTTTCACCCACATACAGGGAAAACCTACTTATAATAAAGAAAACAAGTATTATCCCGTATCCACAAGTATTTGCATCAGAAAGAGCTTCTCTCGCACGAAGCGGTGTTTGTGCCGCGATCAGTATTCCCATTTCTTTCATGCAGTCTTGTTCTTGTTATTGAATTGTGAAATGGGTTAGCCCGATAATAATAACTTTCATTCTTCACTTGTTTACTATTGTACATTTCCCATTGAGCGCGATTCTTTTAGAAGAAAATTGATGTTTTCGTTTGTGCTCTCTTACAAGGTCTACCTTTTTCCACGTTCTATGTAGTGATGCTTTGATAATTGAATTCAAATAGTCTGATTAACTATTCCACTTACGCAATATCTGAATACCTTAATTATTTCAGATACCCAAAGGAAGCTTCGTTGCCTTCATATATCGTACTGTAGAATGTCTAATAGACCACATTTTGGCGCTTCAGGCCAATTACAGGAGATACTTAGCATTTTCCTCTCATCATATTATCCACGGAATATTTTATCCGTGGCTTCTTGTAATGTCTTAATACTCGGATAATGAAAACACAAATTACATGATAAAGTGTCTCATAAAGGAAATATACGAGACATTTATATAAAAACTCAGTAAAAACAAGTCATAAGTTTCAATTAGGGCCGCTTTGGAAATAAGGGCGGGAGTTTTCCGTGTTGAGTCTTTAGAGCCATTTTCAATATCTCATACGTGCATAGATTTTATAGACAATAATACAAACATAATATTGTTTTTGAAAATGTCCTGATGCCCCAAGCCTGTCGTAGGGAAACCGCAAATTATCCGTAACTATGTCATGCCATTAAACATATAAGTATGCACTCACATTTACCCAGAACAATAGTATTCGTTCATTTTAAATAACACACCAAAGGAAAGAATTGTGAAGAACGTTGATTATTTCGCTCGTAGAAAGGCTTTAACTCTCATATTTGCTTTGTAAGGCTTTCATTATAAACTCGATACGACTGCTTCGTTATTATTCCGAGCTATAATGGCTTCGCAGTTATTTTGAAACTGAAATACATATTATATTTATTCTCCGTTTCAGTACTCCATTTCATTTCTGTGTCTTTGTCGTATTTTTACTAAATGTACTCTTTAAATTCTTCTGTTATAAAATAATTAGGATATTTTTACAAACTTAAAATTTTCCCACTAATTTGCTCAAATTTCCACTCTTTCGACTATGCTTATGGGAACACTTTTTCTATGTAAATAGCTTGAAACTATTGTAAAAAGAGATATAACCTATTTCGATGAGACCAAATATTGAGGCTTGTACTCTGTGGTTGTAATCAAGCAACGATAACCTCTCAATTGTCTCGATCTCGTCTGTGGCGCACTGAGCGGTTGCCATTCGTGTATCAGTGCCGCCACGACGCACTATTAACGTTGATTGATGCGATATCTCTTCCCACGACAAGCTTCATTACATTCTTACCGATATCATATTTTCTTGTCGATATATTTTCCTATATAAATCACTTAGAAGAATGCTTTTAGGGTACCCCCATATACAGCGTTCTGTTGACGATACAATGCTATTGTACATTTTTATGGTTCTTCTATATCTATAAAAAAAAATATTACACCTATATGTTGTTAACGTGTGTTTACTCAACACCTTTTTGTGTGATGGGTGTAAGTGCGTCTACATTTAGAAACATCAATGCATACATCAGTCACTGTTTGTGTGTCAATCGGTGAAAGACGAAGTCGTGATTCTTGACGAAACTTTTCGTTCTTCTATGTATTGTTACGAAGTCTGTTACAGGTTCAATTCAATTTGACAAATGTGGCACAATCTTCAGGCAGAGCAGCAGCATTAGTTGTGTAGCGCTTCGTTCGTAGCACTACACGTAGCACCGGCGTAGCACTGTTATATGTACTAATAATCGCGAGCATTATTGAATTATTACGAACTTAATGAAATATTAAGACACTACTACTGTTCCTCGTTATAATTAATATTGATAAATGTTTGTTTGAGACTGGTTATAATTACTTTTCGTTTTAATATATTGAAAAAGTTAAGCAAATTTGATTCGGGCTGTGAATTGTGACGCCCGCCTTCACAATTCAGCTGAAGAAACTTCTGCCGAAGTTCCGTCAGTGTCGCAGCGGGGACATAAGGCTTCTAACGAATGAATGAAACTTTTGAAATAAGAGATTATTGTATGTATTATTACGAATTCTTAAAATCAAACGCACGTATAAAGGATAATTGTTTTCACAAGATAGCTAAAGGGTTTTGCTATAGGTTCTAAAAAAGTCGATAAAAACCAGCAAAAGATTTAAATATATATTAGAGCTGAGTGATGGGCATCGTCAGATATCGTAGATTTTGTTGTGTCCGTCTATCGAGAACCTTAGCAGTTGACGTACGCGTCGCGAGATTCGTCGAAGCGGACGTAATTGAGAAAGTTATCGGAGCGAGAAAATTTCTTTAAAAGACGGTCCCAACTCCCAGCCGTCCTTCGGGTCCAGGATGAGCCTTCTGAGTCTCTCAGATGTGATTTAAGCGCTTAACTCGATTTAGTTTAGGGGACACGATTATGTTCTCGCATGGATAATTTGTGTCGATTTGCTTTGAAACTACTGCTTTTCTTTTAATATTCTTGGGCGCGTAGGCCAAACTGTTAGTATTATACATGAAGGGTTCTCCACCTAAGTACTATAATACGTAAATTAAAAGTGTTCGTTTTCTCTTGGAAATCATAATATGACAGTGACAATATTTATCTCTAACACACGCGAGGTTTATTAACGCAATATCACCAGTACTATTTATTTTCCAGCGATTGTGGTGAATTATTCAGCTCATTACGAGTGTTTGTCGAATTACGCGTCTGTAATACCGTTTAAGTGGATAATTAACTGAACAAATATAGTTTCGACTATCGGATTGAACGCTACTTGACTTGATGATGACGCGTTGAAGAGGAACGGAGTACATACATCGCTTTGTAACAAAAAAACTTTGTAGATCAGTTTTAATAAACTTGAGTAAATAATAAACACAGGCCTTATAAATTGTCTTTTTAATATTATACAAAGCTATAATGTCATATATTGCAAAGTAAAAGTTTTTGAATAAATTAAATTTAGTTGCAGAAAATTATTTGCCTTGCCCGCATCTTATAATTGCCATTTTAAACATGTTTTTTGCTCTGCATCAAATATTTAATATATCTCACGTCAGCTAATTGGCTGCACTTATTATGTGCGGTTTAAATGGTGAAATGTTGATGCATTTCGTAATATGGAATCGAAACGTGTCGACTGCGGGCAGAACTACACATTTGAATATAAATTCATTTCCCGCAAGAAAAGCGAAATTGCCATTTCCACCTTTCGTCTTTCCGAAATGCAAAATATTTGACTTTGTAATTTTGAACGCAAGCTCACATGCAAGATTCAAGAGTGTCCTGCTCTTGGGATTGCCTGCTCGTGCAGCACGATTCTTTGTAGAGCCGTTTTGTATTTGTTTCCACCTTCCGACTATCCAAAGCCAAAATAGCTCGATAGCGCATCCTGTGTAGATATATGGCTATCACCTTCCATCCAGTGAAAAGCATGCTGGTCCTTCCTCCTCTACCATTAAAAAAGAAATCTATTTCTCATCGTTTGACAGATTGAATTATACAGGTAATTTATGTTCCCTTACAATAAACGTATTTTTTATTTTTGCCTTTCCTCAATATCGCTACCTATGAATCACGACTCACAGTCGGTCGCTTTTATTTAAGTACACAAACAAAGCGAGTAACCTTTGAGTTAAAAAATATACTGGAGCCAGAGCACATAAATGACAGTGGGTTATATTAATTGAGGGTCGCTCGTTTTAGAATGGATTGTGGTAATCAATACCTTCTGATCCGATTCCAGGCGCAATGGCTTTGTGCTTTTGTTTTCCTCGGTTATAAATGTGCGAAATACATTATCTTTTGTATCTCTGTAATTTATTAAGGGGTTTAAGTGATCATTTACGATAGTCACTTGTAGCAACGTTTTATCCTAACTTAACGAAATATATCACTATTCACTATATTCCGAATGTGCACGAAACAAAAGGCCGACAGCGCATCTTGTGGGATGTTGTGGCTGTGGTATTTTACTTTCTATCAAGTGAACTCCACGCTCGTTTGTCTTCTATCATAAAAAAATATATCCTTCCTTATATTCTCACTGAGTTTTATATCGTGCAAATGTATTAATAGTTATAACCAATATATTCACTGTTATATAGCTGTTTCAATCGATAAAGAGAATTTCAACATTCCAGTCGTGTTTCTCAATTCGATAAGCCGCTATTCGCTTGTGGACTTTTAAAGCGGCATTCCTGGGCGCGGTCTCACATGGTATACTTCTAAGATATTCTTGTCATTTAAGATATCGGAGTAGTTCGAGCAGGTCTCCGCCTCGATAGCAGAACAACACGCTTACAAGGAATTCAGCGACCGCAATTTCTTCGCAACAGATTTTTAAGTTCCTGCCTTTAATTATGCGCGGGAAAGTAGGTCGTCGCCGCGGGCAGCTGACGTCAAATTGTATGTGGCTGTAGCATTGTTTCACTTCTATATTTTTCGGTAACGAACTAAATGATGAAAAGCATTTTCGCTCTTTGAAATTTCCTGCTTCGTTTAGTCGTGAAAAGACCAAGTTTTATTTATTTTGAAAGAGAATTTGTAATGCTTGATGGCTTGTTTATGTGGACTTTTATCTCTTATTATTTTATTTAAAAAAATGTATTTTCTTTAACCACAGCGATTACCTTCTAGTGTGAGTTTTCCGTCGGTTGTTGGCGTGGGTTAAACTAAAAGCTAGCTTTTAGGTGCCACAAGGCTGAAGTAGGTCACGTTCATGGTCGCGATGCCCTCAAAGGTGCCAAGGGCTTGTACAAATTGCTTCACATACGTAAATCGACAGTCTGAAAGTACTTTTTCGGCGCCTTCGTATTTGTTACGATATAAATCTACAAAAGTTATTGTAAATAAATACAGCCCATGAGAGAACTGACAAGGATAAACTTTTGTATTTTTCAATTCGCGCACTAGTATACGCTATTGAAAGCATTTGTTTATTTTTTCCGACAGTGTACCGCAGACACCGTTTCTGAAATCGATAGCTGAAGAGTCGCCGCACGCTCGCCAGACCGACGCCACCTCTCAATAAAATTAATATATTTATAGGGACATCATACATTTTGATGACGTCGAATTTGCACGAAAATTTAATTTGTTTACTGAAATTCCATTAAAATATCGTATTAATTTTGCCCGTGTTGTAAAGTATACATTTTAATACGAGCACGTATAATCAATTCGTTTGCGTGTAGTTTCAAAAGCGATATCATTTTACATTAAAATTCTGTTTTGTTCTTGCCTCAATTGAAGCTCTATCTATGCAAGTTTTAATTAAATTGTTGGAAATGTTTTTGAACTGTGGAATTATGTGAATTTATGTAATATTATCGAAAATTTCAATGTTTGGTTATTGCGTTGGCGTTTGATACTAGAATAGTTGATTTCTTAGTAAGGTTCGCTTGGTTTAACGCATTGTCACACACGAATCACGACACTTGTAGTCTTCTGTGTGTTTTCTTTGGATTTTACGCATATAACGTTACAATTCCTTTCCTTAATCCTTTTTTCATTAAAACGTTGCGATTTAGTAAATACGGGCTTTCGCAAAAATAATTGGTTTGGATTGTGTTATTTCAAACGATTTGCGGACACAACGTGATCGCGTTGATTTACGACATTCAATCCAATTTATTTTCAAACGGCTTTATGGGTGTAACTTTGTAGCCTTTATATTCAAAGAGTTTGAGTTGGTTTCATTAACCAGATATACTTTTTAGTGTTTAAATTACCTAGAGTCAGTACTTAGCTATTTAGAAATGATCTATTACCCCCTTGTAGGGAGGGGGAAACGGCAATTTAAATGGACATTTCTTACGTACATTGTATTTGTGATAAGCTAATTAAGCGTTAATAATATTACTACTATTTTCACCGAGTTAAATTATTGTGATTTCAACTAATATACTACCAAGACAACTGTACTTACACCGACTATAAACAATCCCTACCCTATGAAATGATCGTGATATGAAACCTGCTAATGTACTGTACTTATGTAGAGTACGATGATCGAGCAAGTTGTCGTAGTAAATCACAGCCGGCGTCAACTTGCCTCTCACTAGACTGATGAATTATGATTCATTCGGCAGAAACTCCGATGGTGTATGCCATGAATGGAAAATTTCGCTCTCTTTTGTGAGAGCATTAGGCCTCTACTTGTCGTTCATAGTTAGAATTTTATACACACACCGTTTTTTGTTTGGGCAGTTATCCATTATGATGAAGCTTTTCTCATGAATCTCAATTAGTTGACTGAGACCCGACGTCCGTATGCAATATGGAAATATACATTATACTCGGTGTAGCCGTGGTCTTATATAGCTTGCTCACTGTAGTGGTTAACAGCAAGTGCTGGAAGGACGTAGCGGACAAGTGTCACTGCGAAGAGTGTAAAACCGAGGGATGTGACCAGCGCAAGCTGTGCGTTCGATCTGTCTCCTCCACGGTCCAGTCAGACTGGCCTTAATCGCTCACCATTTTAAAACATAGAGATTATATCTCAGTGCCAATATTTTGGATTACAAAGCAGTGCCAAAAACGTAATAATTATTGACGTTCTTGTGATAATTTTTATTAACGTGATAGGACAGTGTGTATATTTTGCTGTGCCACATTAGAAACTTTGTTATATAAAGCTGAGTTAAAACATACAGGTTAAAGTGCCAAAACGAAAAAACTCTTAACGTCAGTGCTACCTTATGTTGAAGTGATGAAACAGTGCATATGAGTGTATTTAACGGGCGATGGACCCATTTGCCCGCCTGATGGAGGGTACCCCCCTACCCGGGGTTCTGCCCACCCGGGACGCTCGGCCGCGTGGCGCCCTGGTACACGCCAGTCTGGCTGCTGCCCCACACCTCGGCGATAAGAAGGGCAGGCACCTCACTGGCACTTTTTGTCTGACCGGCGACACCATGGAAGGAATCATACAGTGTCTGGTGTTTCTGAAAGCGTTTTCGGTGAGTTAAGTGTAGCATTATAAAGATATTATAATTTTAGATATATTATGTAAGTGTTTACTAATCTGCAAACGCGGTAGAAGGTTTACCGGTTCCGGGTGTTCACATCGAATTAGTATGACAGGCCCTTAGGCAGGTAAGCAAATTACTTAAAAAAATAGGTTCCGTAAAGGAATTTATTTATATCATCTCTATCTATTTTTTTCTATAAGGATCAATAAATCACTGAAACGAATCCCTGCTATTAGTATTCCTGGCAAGTTTTATTATCTATCGATTCCAATCAGCCTTTCCAATCAAGATTCAATAGCGAGACGATACAAATACTTACGTATAAGCGTTTTGCTTTTGAACAGAAAACATTTTCGCATTAAATATTATTTGTCTTCTTATGAATACTAGGGATTGTTAGTAACTTAAAGCTATGCAACAAGGACAGTGGAGAGTTTTTTTTAGGGGTGTTTATTGAAGTCAGACGAACAAGATTCTTATAGTCTTCGTCTACTAGAAATAAAGTAAAGTAGATACCAATAATTTGCAAGTCCTGTTATGATATTAAGATGAAAAAAATTGTGAACGTTAAGTTGAACATTCCATTTATTATAATCAACCGAATTTTCCTTTAATTTACACATTTCTTCGTTTTTACGCTAGCAGCGCAAGTTATTTATTTTAACCTTATCTAAATATTCCCTTTGTGAAAAATCCTGGGAGCCCATCTCATTGGAAACATGATTAATTCATGTAACGACGTCCCGGAGACGTTCACGAAGGCTCCGTGCGTCCTTAGCGTTTCTTTAAATATGTACAAGAATTGCCAGTAAAGAGCCCTGTTTATCGTGGACCTACGTATATGCTCGTGCCACGCCCGCTAATTGAACTTCGCTTAAAAATTGAAATGGTGGAAAGCTTACATCCGTCTCTTTCAAGCAAATAGAAGTAACTCGTACAGTAAAATGTTCACCAAAAAAGAGAAACGAAGAATAATTAATTTACGCCATGGTTACTCGTCAATTCGGTTCTCGCGCGTTTTTTTAACGACCATAAAGAAATTCCTGCTTTTTTGTCTATTAAAAATGGGATACCTCCTAACTATTAAAATAATACTAAACTGTTTTAAATTCGAAGCTTCTCATTAGTTACTTATTTTTTTCGTTTTTTAGTTATTAATATCAGCCTCATAGCCTAGAATTCTTAAAATTAATCCAATTAACAAGTCTAGTTTTACACAAGTAGGTATTGTCTGTAGTTTACGCGAGTAATATATATGCAATTTAAAGTAAATTTGAGTTATACATAAGTTAACTAATATATTTGGCGTTTTAAACCGTTGAAAGTGATTTGTTACCATGACACAATTCACACTTTTTAAACTAAACCATAGTTATGTTATGTATATAAAATTGCTTGTGGTACCTTCAGTTGTGTGAGTATACAAGGTGATCTTTCATCTAGTTAACCGCAGTTGCACATAATTTAACCGGCTCATTCGCCACGAAAAATAAAGTACGAAACGACCCGAGGTCCGTCCTGGGCTGTAATTGTAGCGTCCGCCGACCTTCGGAGACGCACTGCGCAAACCCTGTTTTATTTTAGCTCATTTGCATACTCTTAGTTTATCACGGTTCTTGTACCTCGTAATTTAAGTGCTGTGGCGGACCTCGTTTGCATTGTGATAATTTGAAGTTAGAACTTAGTCAGACTTTTACGCTAGACTTGTCTTACATATAAATGAGCTACATCGTAATTTTTTCCTTAGAGTGTAATCCCTTGTAAAAGGGTGAACCCAGAACGTCTCGCGTTTAAAGGAATGCCACGCAACACGGTTATCCATTGAGCTACTGGGACGGACTCCTTTGCCTATAAATTAATTTCAAACCGTCCTAAACTAAAGCCTAGGCCGCGTCTGCCAAATCAATCTGACAACCTCTCCTATAGACCCTTGTTAAAGTGCCGCTTTAAATGTCTTGCTTTATTATACCTTCACTGAACCTTCTTATAGCTTTACGGTTATAGCCTGAATATATCATTATTTTCGACGAAATATGCGAAAGATTTGACTTTTAAAACTGGTTTTTCAGTTCAATTCTCGTAAAGATTAGGAATTTGTGTATCAAGCTCAAGTAGGTCAATCATTTTGTCCCCCCGTTACCACTATGGTGTAGGAACCAAATATCCGATCGTCATTAAAATAGTAATACAGTAACCGAAGTGGATTTCCAACAAATATATATATTTTGCGTTCTTAACTTTAAACTTTTATATCTAAACTCCTGATATTACATAAAACTTTAAAAAAAACATTGGGCTGAAGTGTTTTTTAAATTGCATGTTAATTAATGAGATTTCGGCTATATTAAAGCGAAGTTCCATGTAATTAATCTTCTTGCGGTTCGCGCAAAATGCATTAAGCGACTAACTCGGCAAAGTAAATAATGTTCGTTTAATGTAGCGCGTCGGTCTGGTTTTCACGCTTGTGCACATAATGGCTGCACTCTTACATCGCATTATATGCAAAATCCCCTTTTTGCTCTGTTTTAGGTATGCCGCTGACGCCCTAAGGTGGTAGAAGCAGCGGTACGGATCGCCGTGGCTTGTCGTTCTTCAACCTAATTTTGATTAAAGTTACAATATAAGTTATCACCAATTTCTCAAGAGTAAAAAATAATTACAATAATACACAGGTTTTTTGTTATTTATTTCTGTTAATATATACACGATACCAAAAATATCGGTAACGTTTGCGTCAAAAAATACCCAATTAAAAAAATAAAGTCTTTTATATTTAGAGACAAAGATGGCCTCTCGTCAATCGTTTATGACTTATCTTAACAAACTTCAGGTATTGACTGATACTTACTTTATACGCGCAAACTATTTTATAAAATGTTAAGTACAACTAAATGTAGGTCAACTAGTAAGCAATTGAAAGCCAGTAAGTTGCCTCAAGGGTTCTTCTGTTATACGCAAATTGAATTTAATTACCTTAAACTGGCCGGGCGAGGCTTGCTGGATTCAATGACGTCACATTCCTCGTTTAAGCTGTAGGGCACTTCATACCCCGAGCCTTGATCACCTTTACCACTACAAATTGCAACGGAATGTAAATATCAAGTATTTACAGAAACAAATATATAAAATACAACATGTTTTTGTAGTTCGGCCATCTCTAAGATTATGGTAGTCTCAGTAATATAAATGATACTCGAGTGCGGCTGAAAACCAGGATGGTATCCGTCCATCCCTAAAGCTTATTAATATTATACTGATCTCACATGCCCTTTTGTCACTTAATCAGTTATTTGTCTTTTCAACAAAAATTTGTGTAACAAATAAATAAGTTAAGAGTCTTGGTAAGATTTCAACAAAAAATCCAAGCAAAAATAATAATCCGAAAGCAAATTATCTTAAGTAAGGTATGTTATTGGTATTCGAATAAATGAAGCGAAGTGAATAATATCCGGCGATATTGTGTTAGCTTCGAACAGATCCCCTAGAAATAAATATCGCCTATAGTACTCGCACGATGCAGTATCGACATTTCGAGTTCCTTGTCTCAATACAAATAAACAATTCAGCAATCTTCTCGGCTTTGTGCGACGGACTAAAGAGTTTTCAGCGATATGGCTGTTTCAGTTCGAGAGATATAATCGATAGCGCATGAAGGTTAAATAAACAACGTTAAGCGAATTGATTGTGATAATAAAATAATAAGTGACCCTTCTTACTTATTTAATTCTATTCAAATGTATGTTATGTTTTCATCATCGGTCTAATGCAAAATACAGTTCTTATCGTTTTCGTTTGCACTTCACTAAGCATTTGAGTGTACTATCAAACTTACAAACGTCTCAATATTTCTTTCAAATAGATAAGTTCAATTTGTAACCAGTTGCAGTATTTAGTTTCCTTTTAAATTTCCTGACTCAATTATAGAATATTGAAAGTATTTATATAAACTTTGTCAGTTAAACGGCAAGAGTTGCAAACTTGCAAGCTAAACAGAAGTTATTCCCGCTTCTAACTCTGTTTTAATTAAGTTTCTAAGCAATTGGGATGGGAGTTCACCTGGTGCCAATCTAAGTTGACACCTCGTTCGATGCTCCCCCTGATGGGTATCGACGGAACTTATTCAATGGCTACCCAGTAATGGACTATCCACTGTTTTGGACAGGAATGCTATGAATAAAACATTAACTTCAAAACCGAATTCATCAATCCAAGTTTCTGCAAGCTACCCTCCTATAAGCTTAACAGATATTGTTTTAGGAGCGATCTGTTGTTGTTTAACAAATGTAACTTCAGAGGAGTAATTTATCTTCGCGTATCATAAATTTGACTCAGTAAGTAACTGCGCATTGTAATTTGAATCGGCGCGAAATTATGCGAAATCCTTTGCGACGTCACAAAGGAACCCTCCATTAGTACACGGATTCCGAACGTGTTTTCTTTGTGTTGGGACCTTTTCACTAACAATGATATTGTGACTCTCATTTGAAAATCAATGGTCACATCTGCAGGTGACCCACTTTTGAGTTTTATGGTTTTCGTTGGCATGTGTAGATTTTCATTTCATTCAATATTTGTATCTTTGTTATTGTATCATATCATACAACTTTATTTATAAAAAAAAACGCTACACCACATTTCTTTACTGTGCCATAGGATACTAACTTCCGGAAAAGTATAAAACTTTACGCTTTGATTTTGTATCCTAATGGCGTTTTATTGAAAAGAAATCCTTTCGAAATGGCAATATTAATTCGATCCCGCGGGAAATTCCCCAACCTGCTACACGCCATATGTTCGGAAATTAACTTTGGCACTTTGGGACACTTTGTACGAATGCGTCGACTTTATGTGTGAGCACTTTAGACTTTTACGTTTAAAAATTATTATATATGTATAATCTGCGCGAGTTAACGAATTGTTTAGATTCAGGTATCACTTATTCAATAAATATTACATTAAATTCGTGCACAAAAATAACCTCCTCGGAAGATGATAACAGATAATTCCTGGTTTGCCTCAAAATATTTACCGCCTCAGAGGAATTTGCTGCTTTCTTATTATATATTGTACTATTTAAAAGGTTTATTAAGCTTTGTAACGTTATATTTGTAGAGTTCATAGAAGCCTTTCCTAGACATTTCGCGTAGAGAAATATTATTCTCGAATCTTTTTCGCAGTTCATTACAAAGCTGAATTGCAATCGTTCGAAGACATCAGAGCCAGTTAATTTGGGTTCCTCTTAAAATGAAATTACGTTCCTCGGGCTGAATAGAAAACATTCGGTTCTGCTGTTGACAGCTCGATTGCTTATTGATTCTGTCCTCGGCATTCGGTGATCCACGCTCGCCACGGCGCGTGGAGACCAGAAGGAATTTCCTTCCGTATTATAATTCCAAGAAATCTCGAAAATAAATAAGGTTCGTACTAATTAAGAAGTTGGAATAATTAACAGATATATGAGCTTGGTCATATTATGTCATGGAGCCCAAAGCCCAATGGTATTAGCATCATAATATTTTGATATAACATGAAAGAATTTTGTCAGTTCAATTTGGACATGCTTAAACAACTTTTATTCACGTGCAATATATTTGGTAATGTCCCAATTAAGTACATGGTACCTGTATCGCATAATCCCTAAGTTAACGGCATGAAGATTACGAGAAATGCGGCTTATGTATAATTTGCTCAACCAGCATAGCTCGATAGGCACTCGTAAGTTCTCGGAAGAGTGCAGACCAGTATACGATCCTCTCATACACGACTCACTACTTGCCCTACTGCAAACAGCTCTTATTACAGAAATGTTGAAATTAGTTCCACGCCTTGACCCATGACGTCGACGTCACTACTTGGCCTAATAAGCCTGATTCAATTTAATTGATACTAGCAGCCCTTTCCCGGCTTCGCACGGGTAGACATAAATAAGTACAAATATTTAAATTATAAGCATGCTATTTAAAACGACCATGAATCACTAAATTAGAAAAAATTGTATTGCGCGTCCTCTCGGATAACGACCGTGGTCTATCTCGCTGGTTCTGCGAGCGTTCGGTGTTAGTGTCCCGGGCACGCGTTCACGAATTCCTAGCTCTATTTCCTCCAAGTCGCTGCGACGACCTTGCATTTTGTTCTGCAAGACGAAATTAAACAATCGACGATAGAATCTCTGGCTCGCGATTAGGACGCGCACAATTTAACACTTTCCAGACGATCATTTTAGGAAGAAGACTCTCCAATACGATGAACTTTTGCTAATCTCGCTTGGGAACTATTCTTAGATAGCTGCGACCTTCTTCTTCTAGGCATATTGCTATGAAGGATATTTATTTTAAATCAGAGAAATTAAGAACAAAGTAATAATAATACAAAAGAAAATATTCAAGTTCAAAGTGATAATTCTGAAAAGAACTTTGACAAATATTATGCAAAGTGTGAATCCTAATACTAAACTAAGTAGCTCTGAAAATAACTTTTTAAGTGAAGCATAAAACTGTTAAAAAAAATCGAAATACATATTCAATGTCGTTCGCGCCCACTGCTCCTCTATCGTCGAATTAGATACTCGATGCGCGGCGTGGCGGCCGCCGCCGGCATGCATTTTTATTTTAACTTCGTGATATCTTTTGAATGGAATGTCCGATTTCAATAATTAAAAAAGTAATCATCAGGTATTGAGACAGTCTTGAAAATTTAATTATTTATTCGGATATAAATTTTTTAAATGGTATGGATAACACGGTATGATTTTGATCGGCATTTCTTATTAATTTGTTAAATGTAAAAATGTAGTTATAGCGACGTAACTAAAATAGTTAGACATATGCTCTCGTGATGTTTTTTGTAGATATTGATATATTCTATAATATTGTCGGACATATTTTTGTCCTATCATTAATACTTTTCGCAGCGTATACGAAGAAAGACATTTTACGGCAAACTTTTTACGCCTTCCGTTGGTTTTAATAAGAATTTCTATAGATGTCTATAGTAATCGAGTACTAAATATAGCCTATGTTACTCAGTGATAATGTACCTTTCTAATGAAAAAAGAATTATTAAAATCGGTCCAGTACTTTTGAGTTTTTCCTTTACATACAAAAATACAAATATTTCCTCTTCATAATATTAGTATAGATTGACCAATCAAATCGAATCATGTATTAAAGCAATCGCTGCGAAGTAGCGAGTGTGTTCCCCTCGTCATTTATAAGACATAGATTATATGTTAAAAGTTTTACAAATTAATTCATAATGTCATGGTAATAGCATTTGTATGGGCTTAGTTGGGCTCATATGTGTATATGTTGCTAAGATTGAAAAATCTCTATTTAAGATGACTCGACAATTATAAAAGTCTTTTATAGTGTTTATTTTAATAGTTGCTGTCCTACTATGTTAAACGCGGCGTTGTTCTCGTTATATTCGAGTCAAACAATACTCAGTTCTTATTGTTCCGTATTGTGTCACGTATTTGATTCTTTACGATAAAATGTTGAATAGAACATTGGTGAACAGCAGCCGCTCTACCTTCCGTAAACTGGTATTTCCAGCTGAAGTGCTCGTTGACAGAAAAATTTAATTTGCGCCTACAGTATTCATATCCATTTCAATAGCAAAATATATTTTATCTCGACTTGATATTTCGCAGCGCTGCATTCACGAGATGAAAAGACAAGTGGCTCACAAAGCCGAGCTACACTAATTTATATAAATGAGTAATACTCCTGCGGTTACATTATTTCCTAGTTGATACATTTCATTCTCTATTATTAAGGTGTAAGCTTACGTTTTAGTGCCTTGTTAACTTAATATAATACAAATACGAGGAGACCCCATTCAATTTTACAATGCTGCCTTTAAATGCAGAAAAGTATAAAAATAACTACGGGGTTACCTCTAGTCCTTCCATTAGAAAGCCTTTAAAATGTAATGTTTTTAGTCTTCCTTTGTGTCGCTTTATACTAAGCGGGCCGAACGACGGTGATTGTTTTTTTTTGTTCCCGTTCAATAGAAATAAACAAAGCATAATCTATAAAAACTAAAAAGGCGAAATTCGTGTAAGATAGATGGCGCCAGCGTCGAAACTTGCAAATTTCCTCTTGTGTCGTGTGATTGACGAGTTGTCTCCGAAGCACTCTGTCTTAATTCGCTCCTCCAAACAGCCCCCATTTATTTTTCATGAATATCAACCGATTTGCTGATGGGGGACACTTTGTACAATCTTATTTGTGGTAAAAATGATGTTGAAAGCTTTGGGTTCGATTATGTAAAATAGGTTACAAAAGAGTACAAAAAACGTAAAGAGGAAACTGGAGAATATCTTGCATACAACAATAAATAGGATACTTTGTTTTTAAAGTTGTATTTAATCCATTTAGCCTACAAATGCTTTAAATATTGTTTGAAGCACTATGAATAATGATTCTTTTACATTTTCATCAAGCTGTAATTGACTTAGTTTGAATAGTATTAAACCATTCAATGTAGTTGCCCTATTTAGTTTTGGTTGGAAACAATATTCAATTTGGCTATTTGCTAACTTTTAAATGCAGCTTTCACAATACAACAGCAAATAGAAGCAGCGGAAGTGAAATATAAAAGTGCAACTCGCGTTTGGCCGACTAAATATGAATAACATAGATTGTGTTTTGTTCCGCCATTATAATATTTCTGTGCCCCAAATGTTAGTGCACTCGGAAGATGCCTTTTAAGAAAATGAATACGAGGCGAGGCCGTTTCTGTGCAAATTTTATTTGATACAAGTTAAACGAAATATTCTCGCGTACCGTAGCGCACAATTTCCTAATGGCGCTCCTTGACGCGGCGTTATGGGTTATTACTCTCATATTGATGTGCTTTGCATTATGACTCAATAAGGAAATTTCCAGAAAGTATGTATAGTCTACGTTATCTGTGCTATTATTACGAATCAATAAAAAAGAGGCACGTCAATAAGTCTGCTTTCTGGCTCTGCGGAGGGGGGTCTAGTGAGATTTTATTTATGAGTTAGTGGATTTAGCGTCTGTCAAATATCAAACCGTGCATTAGCGCTCATCGATCATTGTCAGAGCGAGTGAAACCGCAGCTCACTCGGGAAATAGATGTCGATTGCTAGTCGCTAGTCGCTTCGATGTCGCGAGTGAAGCAGATATTAATAGCTTGATGCACTTTTCTAACATTCCTTTACAGAATCGGCAATCAGCGCCGTTATCATTATTTACCCTTTTTTGCTTGTCGCTGGGACTTCTGCGTGTTGGCGGATCAAATTTATCGTCCGAGATCTGGTTTAAAGACATGCTGGTTGCCGAAATCTAATAATAGTAATAGTGTAGTTTAGTGTGACTGACAAAACTGGTCGCTGTCGACTCAAAGTGTCTCCCAAAAATGAAAGTTGGGAATTCAGGTGCACTCTACTTAATGGCACCGTATCGAAGTATCGGCTTCATGCGGACTCAAAAGACATGTCGCTTTGACACGGATGCCTTACACCTAGTTGCCTATGCATAGCACCACTCTCAAAATCATATGTGATTTCAGCTACAAGAGTGAAGTGTGCTTTTTGACGTTTTCACCTTAAAAAGGCTGTTCATTTTAAAATTTAAAACTTATAAGAACGAGCTGATGTACAAAAAATATGACAAGCTAAAACTACTGTACTTAATTATTTGAAAACCACAGATTAAATCTAAATAAACGCTTACAATTTAACTTGTAAATAAACCCTTTTTACTTTGCTCACCTGACTGCGTTTAAGCCTTATGACGTAATCCATTATCCATGAATTAATTCTTCAAAGTGAACAATGTTGCCGTCGAGTAAGAGCCCAAACTCGACAAGAATTCGTCGGACAAAAGTCTTATCATTCCATCTGGAAATGTCCAATAATTAATTATTAGGGGTGTAGAGACGGCTTGTACGTTCACTTTTATCAATAAGATTTACCCGAAAATTATTTCTCTGCTTCTACGAAGTGCATACTTTTAAGCAACGTCGTAATTTCAGATATTTCTTGTTTAGTGAGTAATTTAATTATATATTAGATAAAAAAATAAAAACTTCAGTGTTTTTTTTCTCAATGCTTCAGTTTTTGCCTATTTTACCGAGAGGCTTTTTATTTTACTGAATGGGACTAAATGTTAGATCAAAATGAACATGACGTTGGGCCGATAAAGCGACATAATTTTTAAAATAATATTTTGATCCAAGATTGTTTCACTTCACCCTAATTCCACGTGATGAGGGTTGGTGAAGGCTGTCGTATTAAGTGAATTACGAGTTTGACCTCCTAAAGAATTCTCATTTCGCGTAGCTCATATGAATTTAATACATGATTTTCTATGCTGAAATTGACCTTAAAAACAAAATATTGTTACGGTATATTTTTAATTTAATCAATATGTTTAAATATATTGTATTCGTTCATAGTTGAAATTCTTTGAAAAAAACTCTCCTTAGATTTGAATTTGAGCCCTCGGTCTTTGCACCATATTAGGAAAAACCTCTGGTTTGGTTGAGTTAACCAACAAAAGATACTGGTAATGTACTAATGGGCGAGTGCCGCGTCCGCACGTCGTCCACAAGGGCTGTAGTATCGAGAGGGGGCGATGGCCCTCGACTGCGCCTCGACTCCCGTCAACGAGCGATAATGTGCCGTTCAGTTCTGCCCCTATTCAACATCGACCAGCGGTCAACAGTCTGTTTACATTTTGCAGCGATACTCGAATTCTTGTTCGTGTTATGGTTTGCAACATTTGTTGCCATCGAAACGAGTCGGTTTATTGCGATTTAGTAACAGCTTGAAACATAATATACAATAAGAGTACTTCCATTCGAG